TACTACGATGATATCATTAAGCAAAAGATCTAATTACATTAAGACTGGCACATGATTTGGCTTTTATAAAATCTATGTGCCAAAGATAGTTGACAAAGATTCTGTCAGTATTTGAAGTGGTTATACAATTACTTCACCTTGACATAAAAAGTAGCCTAAGGTATAGACAAGACAGAGTGCAAGAGGTATTTACAATACATATAGAAAGAGTATAGCTGGTATGTATGAAGAATAAAAAATTGGTTAAGAAAAACGCAGGCCATTCTCAGTAGGAAAAAAATGGACAAAAATAAAATCCTGAACAGGAATTTCACAAATGATAGCATCCAAATAACTGTTAGGCATATAAAAAGCTGCTTGATTTGTCATCAGGGAAATGTAAATTAAAGCCACAATGGGATACCATTTAACCCCCATGAGAAGGGCTAAAATGAAAAATGACTAATAATATGTGGCCAGTATGTGGAATAACTAGAACTCTCAAATTCCATTTATGGGAGTATGCACAGAAGATATTGTTTTTAAAAACTCTTTGACAGTATCTTCTATAACTAAGACATACATATGTATGTCCCAGCAATTTCACACCTTCACATATACCTACAGAAATTCATATTCAACAAAAATGTACACACAAACATTAATACAAAAATTGGAAACAACTCAAAGATCTATTAACAGTATTTTGAGATACAACAATGGAACTGAAAGATCACACAGGATATTAGAAACCATAATTTGAGAAATCAAATATAAGCCAAGCTTTCTATTTGATACCGTTGATAAGTAAATTTAAAATTGGCAAAATTATTGTATATAAGGATTAATTACTAACAGGAATGAAGTTTCTTTTTGGGTGATGAAAATGTTCTAAACTTAGATCATGGTAATGGTTAAACAAATACTCTAAAAGCCATTATACACCTTGCACGGATGAACTTTGTAGTATAGTTTATATTAACAGTTTTTTCAAATTTTAAAGATGTTAGAAGGACCATGGCTGTACCTAGAGGGGCATGAAGAGAACTTTGGGGTCCAAATAACATTATCGTTCCTGATTTGGCTGCTAATTAAAAATTTGAATAATCTGGTACTTTTATATCTGTTCTGTAGATATGTTTATACTGAAAGAAAAGCAATTAGCCCTACTTTGCCGGCAAGAAATAACCTTCAAGAGCTCAACAAACCAATTCTCAACAGATACTTGACTCTTTGTATCTCTCCACACCTATTTATTTTATAAAACCTTGTTTCATCTTGCTTTACACAATTGGTATCAGCCTGAGGTAGCCACCTATCCTTGCGGACATTTTTCTTATAGACAGGTTTAGCTGCTGCTCCTAATATTCTTCTCTCCCTCTCTGAAAATTACATCTGAAAACTAAAAATGTTAGTTTAGAAGTATTTAGAATTTGGAGTACTTAAGGTTTTATAATGTGCTACATTTCACACTAACTTTGAGAGCCAAGTGTTCTCTCGTTTCTGTTAAAAAAAATTTCTTCTGAAAAGGATAGAACCTTTTTGCCCTGGGTTCATCTTACATCATTTCCTTTCCTTCTGCTAACAATTCCTTTTAATAAATGGTTTTCAAACGTCTGGTAACAATGCATTCATGGGTTGAAACCCAGTTTAGAATCACAGTAAGTTTTAAACAAAACACAACAGAAATACAAACATGAATGCATCGCACATGGTTTAAGCACTTTTGTTTCAGATATATATGCATGTTTGTTGTCATACTGGGTCTCTGTGCATTTGCTGTTGTTTACTATTAATTACTGTCTTTTGCCCACCAGTTTCAAATGCTATAGTTTTGACTCTCCCACTTCACAAGATTGGCAGAAACTCTAAGCCAGCCTCAGACTACAACAATAATGTTCATAATGTCTCCTAAGCATTAAAGGAAGAGCAGTTTAAGTGCAAAGGCAATTTAGTTTTGGCCAAGTTGTGAACCTGGGAATTCAGAAATGCAAGGAGAACAAACTGTGTGACTGACTTGAGGCTCATGATTGAATTGGAGATCATCAACAATTCAAAAAGAAGCTCAAAACTTCTTAGTTATCTCCAAGCTTGCAGTATTAAGTTTGAAAATTTTAAGAAAAGGCCAGCAATTATTTCAAAGCTGGTGCTTAAGGACAGGGAGGAGAGATTAAACAAAAGGAAGTGGCCTAGTTAAGTAGAGTAACTGTTATCAGCAACATCAGGATTAGTTTAAGCAAGTAGTATAAAGTACCCCAGAGTTTACAATGAAGAAAAACAAGTAATCAATGCTTTCATAATGAACAGTTTGGTAAACATAAAAAATTTTTTAAATGAGGATTCCAGAATCTTGAATGGAATTGGCTCACAGCACAGCCACAGTGCATGCCCCCTAGTTACTCTGCACCATCAGAACTTATTTTTAAATTTCAAAAGATTTTAAGGTTACTGTTAACTATTAAAGTACTGGTGTGTGGTTGTAATTCAGTCAATCTAACTGCAGAATCTGTGATGAAAACCAGTTGCCATAACAGTGTTCCCATAGCGACCCTCTGGGGACTGGAGCTGGCTCCTCACACCAGACAGCTGGAAACGCTTACATAAACGTGGCGTGAGAAAGTACGTTCAGTTCAAGACTCCCAATATGATTCCATACCATAAATGTCTATGGGATAAAGTTATTCTTCCAGGGGCTTTAGAGGAGAATATGGTGGGGGTCTGGGAAGGAAGTACAATCCATCAAGTTATTCTCTTTAGATATTCATACAAAGGAAAGTGTTATTAATGTTCTCCTTTCTTGAAAAGGTCCCCCTTAATTCTTCTATCCTACTATGTTAAAAGTATTATAGGGGGTTACTATATGGCTGAAAAGGAGTCAGTGGTAGGAATCCCCAAATTCAAAACTACCAAAGACTTTGAAATACCTTTTAGTTTTTTCCAATTTGTTCACTTTCACAGTAAGTTACCACTTTCTTTCAAATACAAAGACTGTCATATTTCTAAAGTATTTACTGAGGTTAAATCCCAAGGCAATATAAAGTACTAGAGCAGGACAAGAATCACCAGGGGGAAGAACCGAACATTAAGAAGCTGTACTGCTATCGATCTTACCATCCTCTCTTCTCTCTCCCTTATGTGTCAATTATCTTTGGCCTCAGGTTTATTTTCCCCATAGACTGCAATCATAATCACAACTTCCAGATCACCGCAGGCTCTGTATTACAGTACTGAAAAATACATCTTTGAAGCTGGCAAGAATGCTCCTAGGAAATGCAGTATTTACTTCTGAGGGAAAACATATTTTACCAAAGACACACTTCTTTGAATAGGCGTCTGGGAGGCAGGGAGTAAGAATTAGTTAGTTACTTCAGGATTGCAAGTGATTTAAAAAGATATGCTTTTATTGTTTTACACAGTATATAGTATTTGCTGAACTAAATTTTTCAAGACATGGAGGATGTGAAAGGTCATCTTCCTATACATCCACATGTTACTTGCAATGATCTGAAGAGACTTAATTTCAGGGAAATGGAAAACTTTCCTGAGGAGATACACATCTTTGAACTTACCTCCCTTTTACCAGCCCCAAATGATCAATATTCACTGCACTGTAGAAAATATTACCAGCTTTGATCAATCCATCTATCCACACTGGTCAATTATAGAATGCGTATCACATGATGTAGTTCTTGTTTATGTGGAATATTAATAGCAAAAGGAGACATGAAATTAACTGCTGTGGCCTGATTATATATAATGAAAAGGTAATTTGGTAATCAACAATATTTATAAACAAATTCTTTAAAACAAGACTACTACACACACAAGTCTATATTATTGTCTTGTCTTATGAAAGTCTGTCTCTCATCTGTACTAGTTAACTTCCCTCTAAATTCTAATTAAAAGAAAAGGTTTCCAAAGAGGGAAACCTGATTTAATTCAGGACACAGGTCTCCAACCATCATGCAAATAACAGCAGAAATGATAGGCACAGTCATTAACCACAGGCAGTTAGAACCAGCTTTTAAGCCTTTCTAACAAGGAGCCAGAATAAAGATTGTGAATTTACAACCACATATTCAGCTGATACTAGCTCCGACCACATCCTCTGCCCTCCTGAACTCATAATTACTGAAAGGGCAAGCAGCAAGTCTGGATGCAGCAAATGCTTAATAATGTTTCTACTATTACCAACATCATTAATAACATCATTACCATAAACCCTTCTAACCACAGGTTTCCTAAAAGCTATTTTGTATATATTTTAATAACAATATAGCACAAAACTAGTATTCACTGAGCTCTTATTAATTATATGCCAGCCAGTGTGCCAATAAGCATTTATCTTAAACAATGATGTTATGAGGTAACCACAACCATTACTACCTACCATTTGCAGGTAAGGAAACAGGTGTGGAAAGATCAAATTACTTCCCCATGGTCGGCTAATAGGTAGAGCTGAAAATTGAGGGCAGACTTTGCAGCTGACTTTTTGAGCCCCTCTCTCTTATACAATCATTGATGCTGATCTTGTCACATTACGTCCTATTTACTTACCTTTCCCATTAACTGAGTTCTCTCAACTTCTAAAATGCACAATTATTTGGGTATCATACTATTCAATACTGAGAACAAGTCCTCTCTTTGTGGAAAATCTGAACTAGAACCCATTGTCTTGGGAAGCAACCAGGGCACTCGCAACTTTCTCTCTGCTGATGGGGATGAGCTAGGAATAGTAGCCCATCATGGTATCATGAAGATGAAGCTGGCAGGCAACTCCTATTGAAGAAGGGTCAGAATCATCAAAATGTCTCCATTCTAGGCTGGTTTGATAACCCATTTCCTTACCTTGAACTTTGATGCACTGGGTTTGCTTTGAGTTCTGTATAATAATATAGAATATATATAATAATAATATACTCTCCCTCCTCCCCCCACCAACTTCTCTTTCTTATTAATTCTATCTGTTCCAAGATATGACAGACTATACTAAAACTGACATTTCTTAAAAGATAATGGCAACCTATGAAATGCCAAAAAAAAACAAAACTTTACAGTAATAACATTTACGTTCAAATTCTATTGCAAGATAGCAAAAGTTCAGCAAGATTTAAGGACTATAAAGCTTCATTAAGTGGGTCCCATTTTTGGAAATATATAAAAATATTTTCTATAAATACTACATAAAAGACAATGTGTGAAGTCCAAGCTCAAGTGTTCCTTTAAATCGTCTAATCACAGTAACTTTCAGATCTAGAAAAAAAGTAATTTCAAACTCCCATCTGTGACCTATCCACACATTTAAATTATTGGGAAAGGTCTTTAGAATTTAATTTTTGGCTATTTAAAATAAAAGACACAAAAATCAATTTACAGTCAAATATGACACAAGAGCCCACACAGTTCTCGAAACCAAGAGTTGCATTAGGTAGAACTCAGAAACTAGAAATTCCATTTTCTTCTTCCTTCATTTGTTTTGGTAATTCCAGAAGTCTGTACCAAGCTCCCATAAGTTTCTTATTGTTATTTACACATCATACATGGATCTTATAGTGCATTGTATTCCACACATTTTGATGGATCCGTTGGAAAGTGCTTCTGGCAAATGGTCATTAATCTTTTCAATCCCTAAGGAAAAAAAAAAAAAATCGAAGTGGTTATGATTTGGTTGAACTATTTCTAATTGCCTCTGGACTCACTCCAGTTTACCCATGTCCCCCATTAAAACATAACAGTCCCCAGCAACTTCACTCAGATGTACACTTAGAGAAACATTTATACATGTGCACTCAGAAATATGTACAATATGAACCATAACAGTATGGTTAACTATAACAACAACAAAAGTGCTATAAACAACCCACTGGATATCACTGGAGAATATAAGAATAAGCGTTAGTATGCCCCCAAATTTAGTATTTTACATCAATAAAAATGAGTCAACTAGAGCTATATATAACAACCAAGCCTTTCTCCACCAGGTTTCAATAGAGAATTGAGCCCAAATTGTCCAGCTTAAAATAGCCATTGTATCTAAAGATGCAGCACCTTTCCTGTGCATCTAAAAGGGATATATAACACACACACATAACATGTATATGTGTATATATATGTACCATGTAAATATTAATAGATACCACCCTTGGAAGAGCTGCAAAGAGAGTCAACCAAATCTTCTTTTGTGTTCTATGGCACAGATGAAAAACTCTGGCTAAGAACAACTGATAAACATGAGGTCTTATAAACAACTTAGTGTAAAAAACAAATGACCAAAGGCTACAGACAGTAAAATAGCATTTTCACAGAATTCAAAAATAATTTTTTTTAAAGATTTATTTATTCTTACAGAACTGGGGTACAGGCCAGAGATGCGGAAGGTGAGAGGATTCACCAGAGACAGAGCGGGGTGCAGACAGGCAGATCAACGAAGTACACTGCTGAGGGGAGCAGCAGGTGGGTCAGGAGGGGTCTGCCACACCATGTGGATCTCCTCCAGGGCAGGCGGGAATTGAACTCATGTGGAAGTGAGTTTAGCTTCTTAGTGCTGTGCTTTAACCCGCTGCGCCACCAGGGAGGGCCCAATTTTAAAATAATATATTGCTCAAAAATACACACATAATTTAGTAGAGTTACTTTCGAATGGCTCCAAGGAAATGATAAATTCAGGATAATGGTAACTTCTGGGGTAGAGGAAGAAAACAAACTCCACATTCATCAGAATAGTTCTAAAGACGGGGGCCTTTAGATGTTAGTCTTATTATCGTATAACTTACATGCTACATCTATTCTTTTGCATGTGCCAAATACGACTGGATAAAACATTTTAATATAACATTAAAAACTGAACACAGGCCCTCCCTGGTGGCAAGCGGGTTAAAGCACAACACTGAGAAGCTAAAGCCACTTCCACATGAGTTCGATTCCCGTCTGCCCAAGAGGTGACCACATGGCGCAGCAGACCTCTCCTGACCCGCCCACTGCTCCCCTCAGCAGTGTACTTCGTCCATCTGCCTGTTCTGCTCCCCACTCTGTCTCTGGTGAAGCCTCTCACCGCTCCTGAGCCTCTGGCCTGTACCCCAGTTCTGTATGTACAAATAAATAAATCTTTTAAAAAAAAACCAAAAACTGAACACAACCTTCTAAACATGACCCAGTAAACTCTAAGAATTCCCTGAAAGGAATGGATTCTGTATTACCTTTTGTTCTATACCTTTGGCATCTGTTAATAAGCATTTGATTCTTTTTTTTTTTAAAGATTTATTTATTTATTCATACAGAACTGGGGTACAGGCCAGAGATGCGGAAGGTGAGAGGATTCACCAGAGACAGAGCGGGGTGCAGACAGGCAGATCAACGAAGTACACTGCTGAGGGGAGCAGCAGGTGGGTCAGGAGGGGTCTTGCCTCGCCATGTGGATCTCCTCCGGGGCAGGCGGGGATCGAACTCATGAGGAAGTGGCTTTAGTTTCTCAGTGCAGTGCTTTAACCCGCTGCGCCACCAGGGAGGGCCTGATTCTTTTTTTATGCAACTACAATACACACTGCTAATTCCCACTGCCCTCACAGATTACAAGTGCTTTCTCCCTCTTCTGTAATTTGGCCAGTTCTTATCTAGCCTATAACATTAGTTATTTTTTTGAATCAGTTAAAATTAATTAGGTTGTCTTAATAAAATACTAGGTTAGCATTTAGTTTAGTTATTCCTATTAGATTTCTCATATACCACTAAGTAAATATGCCTCTAAGTCGGTATCAAAATTCACAAACAGGCCAGAAATAACAGCAGAACCCTGTAGCATGATACCATTTGGGGGACAGTTTTGCAAACAGCAATAAGTTCTATAAACTGTTTTATCTTCTATAAATTAGGTTCATAAAAATTAAAACCTTCCATGTCCTTTTGCAATAATAGGAACAGGTCAAAGGTTTTACTATGTTCATACCTAGAACAATTACTAGAGATTGAATAGAAAAATGTAAATAGCACTTTGCCTGATATTTAAGTAGTATTCCCTCAAAATTAATACTCCATCTCAAAATGATACTATGAAATATCACTGGCTCGTTAAAAAACAATGAGCTTCATGACCTAAGTGAGAGAGTACATGGATATAATTACACAACCCATTAACAAAAGAGTACATCTTCAAGTCTGAGGGAAAGTAAAAAACAACCTCAAAATGTATACTAATAGAGTAAGTATCTAAAACTTCAAGCAATTAGAATGCTTACTCTAATAACCAAAGCAGTCAAACAACTCTAAGAATCTACTAAAGTAGATTCTGTGGCTCAAAAAAAAAAAAAAATCCTAGTATTCTGTCTGAAGTTTTAGCTGCCAAAAGGTTTTGAAACAACAGACCAAGTCTTAGTTATCATGAACATTACATTTTTGCAATAAGCACTGATAGTAGAGGACAGAGATTTTTTTAAAGGGTATTCTCAGGAGATCCTAAGATTACTCTCCAAATAAAAATGAATCTTTTTCAAGCAGATATGAAACTTTAGGATTTCCATTTTAAACTGCTCTTAGACACCTAAACCAGTGAGAATGAGTTGCTTATTAAAAAAATTGTTTTAAAAACTAGTGGTATTTTTACATACAATTTTTATTTCTGTGAAAAGCAATACATTTATTTAGTAAGTTTTAACAAGTGCTTACTGAGGATTTTACAAAGGCATGGGCAGGGCTTGAGACCTTCAACAGATATACAGTACCCCAGAGCTAACTATACAGGGACACCACAGCCAGCCAAGTTATGAAAGGATGAGGGAAAAGAATTGTCACTGAAATGCAGTGGGCCACTTAAGAGAAGCACTGGCAGTGAGTTTAAACAAAAAAAAGTACAGTCAACCACATGGTATCACAGGAAAGACGCCAGGGAAATATGATCCGTTTCCCCCACAGGTAACAAATGCTTATAGTTTTCTCACTGTCCCAATCAGAAACCAAAGGATAAGGGGCCTTTGTCAATGATGTCCACAAGAAATTGACTGTTACCCTGTCAACCTGTCGTATGAGTCAGTATCTGGGATACAGAGCAAGAAGTGGAATGGTAGAAACTGGTCATGGAGAGGCAAACAGCCATTTGATGTCAAGGTCACCTTTTCTTCTCATTTCTCTTTCTTCTCTTTTATAAAGACAAGAATGCTCAAAATGTAAGCCTTTTCAAGAGGTATCTTGAAATGTCTGACGTTCAAAATTTCTAAATAATCAAAACCTTCTACAGCCTGCATAAAAGCTTTACAAATCTGGATCAAAGGTTACACCTTCACTAAGCTAAAATGAACAAAGTCCTCACAGTTACTACCACCAATTTAAATCTAATCCTGGATTTGAGGTTAGTTAGTAAGCTAATCAACTTGTCTTTGATCTACATGGTAAGAAAACTCCTCCTGTGGTATGTTTAATTGTTGTGAGAAAAAGCATTTCAGTTTCGATAGTATAAATTTGAGAGGTATGCATAATGGCAGAAGATAAAATTGTATTAAACAGCCCCATGAATTGTTATCTGCTATAGTTCATAAATCAGGTATTTCTCACCAGATATTGACAGTATAAATAAAAAATATTTCCTACATGCCAAAATTCCATTTGAATGAAATCAAATAAGCAAAAATCAACCAAAATTAAGCAATAATGACACAGGTTAAAGTAGTGATTACTTTGACCAAGAGAAGTAAAATTTAGGCTGGAAAAAGGCACATAGGCACCATCTGGAGTGCTGCTACAGGCAGTTGATTTCCAAAACTGGTTTTATGTCTTGATATATATCAACAATCTCTGAGGTATATTATCAAGATCAGTACACTTCACATGCTAAACTGTTCAGGCAAAATTTAAAAAGAAATAATAACGGTTATTTCATTTAGCCACTATTAAATGACCTTTACAATTACCTTTTCAACAATTATATTAACCTAAAAAAAAGGTTTGGGTTTATACATTTACCAGGTGTTAGCAAACCATAGCCTACAGGCTACCTGCCTCTTTTATAAATGGATTGTCATTGGAATGCAACCACCAGCTGCCTTCACACTAGATGTGCAGGACAGACTGGTTTACAAGAGAGATCTAAAAATTGCAGAATCAAAATTATTTACTATTTGACCCCTGAAGAAAACATGTGCCAACCTCTGACTTAAACTTCAAATAATATATTCAAGCTGTTCTTTTGGAAAATTCAACTCAACCTCACCAAAAACAAAAGAGACAGGGAGATTCATATGACAACTTATAATCAAGAATTTCACAAAAGTTGGCCATTCTTTGGTCTTACACTGCACCATGAGCTTACTTTAAGACAGGTACACAAACTGACACTTTTTTTGACCTTAAACATTCTTAATTTTTTAATTTGATACCAATATTTAAATTTTTAATCACTTTAAAAATATTTTGGTATAAAAAAAAGAAAATCAAGCAACCCTGAGACCCTATTCCTACAAGGTAATGATGAGCGAAAATAATTCCAACAACACCAAGACTAAGCATTAGTTGACACTTCACAATCATCTACTTTTCTCAGAGGAGAATTGAGAGAAAGAGGAAATATACCACTTCTCTGTCTATATGGAAAGTAGGAAACCAAGTAACAGAAAATCAGGTGTTTAAGTCAGCTCACTTGTTATATAACTTGGTCATGGACACTTCTGCAACTATAGGTTAAAGTAGTAGTGGCTTAGACAAAATGACAGAAGTATCTATCACAGACTTAAAAGCCAGAGGATAAGTAAGGGCAATAGTTAATTCTATTTACAAGCATAAGTCACAGGAACCTGTCCCATCTTTAAAAGCAGTTGTACTTCTAGACAAAGCAATACTTTTGCTCTTTAAAGCTTCTCCATGCCACTTTTGCAATGTCTTCTGAGTCTGTATTTCCAAATAAAAAATTAACAAAAACATCTTTTGCTTATATTAATTAAAAACCTTCTTCCTAGATATTCCTTAGTTGGTTCTTAAATACATAAAACAAGTTTAATCCCTCTTTGACTAGAAAGTTCTTCCATTACTGATAGTACTGCTTCCCAGATCACCATCAGTTTCCTTCTCAGGAATGAGGAAAATACAGTACGATTATTTAGCTCTCTTGTCTTGTCTCTACAGACTATTCCTTCAGGCAAGAAATACTGATTGAGCATCCACCATGAGTGAGGTCTGTTGGAGACTCTGGGGATACAATGGATTATGTTCTTTCCCTGTGGGACCAAACTAAGCTATTATGTCTAAGTAGCCATGTCATACTTACTAATTTTACTGCTCTTATAATCCATTAAACTCCCTCACTTTTTCCTCATATACCGTGCTCACATTATGTACTAAATCAACTGGTTTATTACATTTAAATTTCTTTAGGGTCATCCTTGCTAAAAATGTTTTCAGAATCTGCCTTTTTTTTCAAGTCTGTTAAGAACTTATGGGATTCCAATTTCTACCTCAACACACAGGTTATACCTTTTATTTTCGTTGATTATAGAATGGTTAAAAATACTGTAAAAACCCAAAATACACAAAAACACTGATTCAAAAAGACACCTGTGCCCCCATCTTTACTGCTGCTTTATTTACAATAGGAAAGACCTGGAATCAACCCAAATGCCCAAAAGTTGATGACTGGATTTAAAATTTGTGGTACAGGGCCCTCCCTGGTGGCGCAGTAGGTTAAAGCACAGCGCTAAGAAGCTAAAGCCACTTCAGCATAAGTTCAATTCCAGCCCCAGAGGTGATCCACATGGTGCAACAGACCTCTCCTGACCCATCCACAGCTCCCCTAGCGGTGTACTTGATTCATCAATCTGCCTGTTCTGCTCCCCACTCTGTCTCTGGTGAATCCTCTCACAACCCTGCACCTCTTACCTGTACCCCCGTTCTGTATGCATAAATAAATCTTTCAAAAAAAAAAAAAGATGTGGTACCTATATACAATGGAATATTACTTAGCAATCAAAAAAGATAAACTCATGCCTTTTGCAGCAACATGGATGGAGCTGGAAGGGATCATGCTTAGTGAAGTAAGCCAGAAAGAAAGGAAAACTACCAGATGGTTTCACTCATAGCAGGAGTATAAAGGCCCAGGAGAGAAAATTAATAATAATAATAATAAACTATATACCGGAGACATTTTACAGGGGTGGAGTGGGTAATGTGATCAAAAATGAGGGGCAGGCAGAAAGAGAAAGAAAAATACCGGATGGTTTCACTCATAGCAGGAGTATAATGGACCAGGCAAGAAAATAACAAAAATAATGAACAACCATATACCAGAGACATTCTGTGGGGGCGGAGTGGGGAATGGGATCAAAAACGGGGGCGGGGGGGAATGCACGGGACTATGGTGGTGGCACAGGGGTGATTTGGTGATGGGAAACCCCCGGGGATTACAATCGAGATGGAAAAAAAAATGTGCAAAATGATGTAAAAATAAACTTTGTAATAAAAAAAAATGAAAAGGAAAAAAAATTTTAAAAAAAATGAGGGGCAGGGGGAATGCACAGGACTATGGTGATGGCACATGGGTGATTTGGTGATGGGAAGTCCACAGGGGTTGTTACAAATGAGATGGAAAAAGGCACAAAATAATGTAATAATAATACTGTAAAAATACAGTCATCCAAGTCAATCGTAATGTCAAACAGAACAGCACAGAGGTTATCACTAAGAAGCCTATGGCGTATCACTAGCACCCACCCAAATAGATACAGAACCACTGTTCAGTGGTCTGTGGCTTTCCTCACTCAGTAAGCTATGAATCACCAGTAATATTATGTTTACATCTGTTCAGGAAAATATTATAAGAATAATTATCCTTCCAAATATTCAGATACAGTATATTCACCAACTTCCCCTCGATTTAGGGGGTGAGGGAGAAGAAAAGATGGAAGAGTAAAAGGGTCTTTTTAAATTGGAAGGGAACAATAAAAAAAAAAGTAGGAGGGCTAGGTCACTGTGTAGCTTCCAAAATAAAACAAAAATCTTTTTAAATGCTACATATATTTAAAAAAGAAAATGAGGTTAGCGAGGTAAAAATCATATCATTGTTTGAAAAAGAAATGCTGCCTCTAAGATAATTTGTGTGAGCTTTTATACACACTATAGCTTTGGTCATGATGTAGTTGAACTCAACTAGCAGGTTTAATCATCGGGAACTGTTTTCCATTTTAATGTAAACTTTTTCTAACTAAAAACTTAATGCCTTCAGTACAGTCTCTGGAGGTTATTAAAAACTGGAAATGTCTTTGGGTTTCAAAAGTCTATCTTTGAGGTCTGTAAGTTTTACAGTTCCTATTAGGAAGTCACATTGAAATATTTTAAAATGCTAATATATATGAATAAGGCATAAAGCATGACACAGAAATTAACATTTACCACTTCAAATTGAAATACAAATAAAAAGATAACTTATGAATATGGTAATGATTAGTCTCTGGCACAAAATCTGAAAGTATTTTATGAATTTTACATTTTAAGTAAACTTCCAGAATGTCTTCAAGTTTTGGAATTAACATCTAGCAAAATCATCAGACACAAACTGGGAATTCTGGTAATTTGACAAAAGTTAGGCTAGAATTAATTTTTTTCCCATTAAAAAAAAGTTTAACCCTACAACAGTGTAAACAACTTTATTTGTGGCATATGTGACTTTAAGAAAATAAACTATGAATGTACACTTATGTAGAAAATTAAGTTCCTTAAAAATTATTATTAACAACTTCTTTAACTATCTGTACCTTTTTAGTCTAGCAGACGTTAAATATACCTTGAAGGTATATGAATAAATTGAATAAAAATTCAATTTATCAAGGTTCACTAAACCCTCAAAGTAAACTGATTTTATTTCAATGCTAAGGTAATTAAAGCACAGCATTTCACATCGTCTTACATCATATATGAAACTTAAAAAAGATCTTCAATTCTATTCAGTGAAGGTACCTTAAATATCATTCCTTCTCAACAGTGAACTTGCATCTATCAAGTTTCACCCTAATTCTATAATTCTCCTGCTTTCAAAATTTAGTTTGGGATGTGAAGAATGTTAACCTCCAGCGTAAATTCTTTTCCCTCCAAACTGCTTACCTGTATGTATTTCCGCTGTGTCTCATCATTCAAAACATGTGCAACATGCTTGGAAAAAATCTTTTCCCTACCAGTTCTGGCATGGATACCAACCATAGTGACACCAATCGGCCAAGGAGCATTTCCAATGGCCATCTGAAGATAAGCATCATTAGCCTGAAAACAAAGTTGAAGAAGAAATCAGACAAGCAAAACTACTGTATTGGTCTAAATTCTTATTTCAAGTATTTCACAGACCTTCATGTAGTTTTCACACACCTCTTGGGCGTGTTGAAAATATTACCATTCCAGTTATTCAAATGTAAGAAACTAAAACACTGGGTGACTGTCCTGCCCAAGAACACAAATGTTCATGGAAAAACAGAAACCAAAGCTAACCTTGTGAATATAAAGACAAACGGTCCTTTGCAGCCTTTGTGTATGAAATTAATACATTTTAGATATGGAATTACCAGGTAGGTAATTTGATACATTGACAGAAACTCAAGTTTAGGTTACTCATAGTCCTACTTTTCTCCATAGGTGGTCGGAGGACAAAGGCTAACTCGTTTTTCATAACCCAACCTGAAACTATACACACTTCCTGCACAGCAGTGTAGATCTCTGAAAGCAGTGGGGGTTCTGTGTGCTGGGCCTATCACATATGGTCCAGAGCAGATGTATAAACAGGGATTAAATACTGACCTTAGAGTCAAATAACTAAAGGATGAGATTGGTTCATTTTGCCCCTACATCTCCCAACCTCCCACCTGCAAGAACCTTAAAAGCTATAAAACACATTGACTAAAAATCAATGAAGACAAATCACTCCTTTTCTAAACCCAGGCTGCCTATTTGTGAGGAAAGAAGAAAAATCAGAAAGCCAAGTAAATACTGAAAAAGAACTAGAGACATTTCAGAAATGCTTGTAGAGTCAGATCTGAGAGAGATTTTAATCTCAAAAATTAAACACCTATGTGACTGATATGCAGAGCTGATTAGAAAAAATACTGTTACTACTAACAGGTTAACTGGAAGACCATTTTCTACCCTAAATTCAAAGCTGCTCTACAAACTTGATTTAGGAAGAGCACATCTATACTTTTACCACTGATTCTCATATATTCAAGTTTTAATACTGGTTATGAACTGGTAAAAAATTCCAATATTTAGTTTCTTCAAATTTCCATATAAAATCATCCAAACAGGTAATTAGTTTATTTGTTCTCTCTGCAGTTATACAAAATAAATTTTCACCTGATTCTTACATGTGAGAATAAGATAGGCATCCACTTAAGCAGATAATGATTAGAATTCTTTTTTTTTTTTTACAGGCACAGTGACTTTATCCATTCATTCCAATGAAACTGTCCATAAGAAACATGCAACTAATAAGCACTACTTAAGAATAAACTATGGCCATAAATATATGAAGAAATTTATAACCATAAAAGTTTCCTTTGCGAAAACTGGCTCTCACATAGGAGTAAAATCACTACTTTCTAGCCTCATTAGCATGAAGCTTGATCAAGTAAACAATCCAGTTACCCAGGAATACCAGCAGTTCCCTCCTGCAAGTACAGATACTCAAAACACAAGAGTAAGCAGCATCATGCCCACTTTTCTGTCAGAGTTTCATCCACTCCCTAGAACTGTCAGTGGAACTGCTTTCTTGAATTCTGAACTCCTATTCTCTTGGGAGGTACAGCCTACCTCTTGTTTTCACCCATTAAGCAGCATCACATTTCCACTCTCCAGCTCTGGTATAATAGACTTTTGTTTCTCTGCACCAACTAACAGCCCTCCACCTTCCCCCTTCTAAACTCTATCTCAGGAATCCTTTAAGACACAGGAGCTCTTTCCCTTGCCACATGCTGACAGAATCCATTCAGAAAAAAAGCCACTAGAATAAGGGATATGTCTCCCCTTACAAAAGGTCTGCTATTATTATGATACTGAAATGGAAAAGATGAATTCTGTCAGCCTTACATGGAACAAGAAACAATAAAGGTTAGCTAAATCCCACTGTCTCATTAGCACAATGGTTTGGCTAGGTAAGTTTTTATAGCTGGTCTGGAAAACTAGCCTACATAACAGTATTTCTATGGGAAAATCTGCTCCAACCCCAAGAATGAACTAAAAACTTAAATTTCAACCCCATTCATAAAACAAACATTGCCTATATCCATTGCATGCTTTGAAGAATCCAGAGTTACTTTAAAACTAACTAAATACAGAGCAACCTGACAGTGTATTACTCAATATGCCTAACAATAAAGCTGACCAATATTAAAAAGGTAAAAGCTTTCTTTACTTCTAGTTCACTTCACGTTTATTCTTAAATCTCCTATGTAAAATAATGCCACACAAATGAGCATTATATACATAACCTAGATGTGCTCATAAGTATAATTTTGATGCATATCATGGTAACGTACCTTCACATATTCTCTCTGCAACATGAATTTAATAATATCTGTTATTGATTCTTTAATATCAGCAGGGAGATTCTGGAAAAGGGGAAAAAGAATATGAATTGATTTTGGAAGCTACTGTGTAGTTACAGACGACATTTATTCTATGTATATTCCTTTTTTAAAAGTTAGTGGATGAAAGCATTTTTCAAGAAGCCTCACCCTTTTCCGCAGCTTTCTGAAGAGGGGTCTGAGATAGGACTCAGTCTGCTTCTGAGTAGCACTGTTGAGCTTACCCTGAACACTACGCTTCACATAATCTTCTCTGGCATTCAATTCTTTAGCCCAAACTCCAAGAAGAAACTGTTGAAAGAACAGGTAAATTTAGACTACAATGCCACCCAGTGGTCCAATATTTTTAGAAGTTCATTTACATTAAAAAAAAAAAAGAAAGAAAGAGGCCCTCCATGGTGGCGCAGCGAGTTAAAGTACAGTGCTGAGAAGCTAAAGCCACTTTAGCATGAGTTCGATCCCTGCCCCGGAGGTGACCACATGGCACGGCAGACCTCTCCTGACCCGCCCGCTGCTCCCCTCAGCAGTGTACTTTGTTGATCTGCCTGTTCTGCTCC